GTATAGATTTCCCTTCTAGTCCCCTCTTAGTTAACCTGTGCCCAGTGAACAGGGTCAAGTGACGGAGAATTCTGACTTTTTTTTTTTTTTTTAGCTCTGTGAACTTGAGTGAAAGGTTTAATCTCTCTAAACCCATTTCCTTAACTGTAAAATGGGTTATTTACTTCCTCTCTGGGTTGCTTTGTGATTTAAATATGATGACACATAAAATAACTAGAATAGGGAATGACTGTAAAAGGTACTAAATAAAAGTTAGATCTCTCCTCTTCCTCTAAACTTCCCCCCTTCCCATTATATACCTTTCCATTTAAAATAATAGTAATAATAATAGTTATCATTTATTTAGTCTATTCTATGTGTAGGAATTGTTTCTTGCACTTTACTCTTTCACTTAATCCCTCACACAACCCAGTGACATAGTTGAATAGAGGCTTAAGGTCGACAGCTCTCGAAGTGTGGTCTACAGACCCCTGGAGTTCCTGAGACCTTCTCAGGGTTAAAACTATTTTCTTTTCTTTTTTTTTTAAGATTTTATTTATTTATTTGACGGAGAGAGACACAACGAGAGAGGGAACACAAGCAGGCGGAGTGGGAGAGGGAGAAGCAGGCTCCCCGCAGAGCAGGGAGCCTGATGTGGGACTTGATCCCAGGACCCTGGGATCATGACCTGAGTCAAAGGCAGTCACTTAACGACTGAGCCACCCAGGCACCCTTAAAACTATTTTCTTAATAATCCTAAAACAAGGGGGCTCCTGAGTGGCTCAGTCAGTTAAGCATCCGACTTTGATTTCAGCTCGGGTCATGATCTCAGGGTCCTGGGATCGGGCCGCTTTGGGCTCCATGCTCAGCAGGGACTCTGCTTGAAGATTCTCTCTCTCCTTCTCCCTCTGCCCCTCCTCCTGCTCACGTGTGTGCACTCTCTCTCTCTCTTTCATATAAATAAATCTTTAAAAAAAAAATCCTAAAACAGGGACTGAAAATCACTGCTGACATTCTGCTAATGGTGCAAAGCAATGGTGGGTAAAGCTCCTGGCACCGTGTGAATCTAGGCAGTGGCACTAAATGGTCCCCGTAGTCAAATGTACTTTTCGCTGTCATTTGCTCACAGTAAACAAAACAAAGCAAAAAATGTTTCACTTATGACTGTCCTTGATAAAGCAGTAAAAATTACCCATTTTATTAGGTCTTGCTTGACCCTTGAGTCTTTTCAATATTCTGTGCAACAGTGGAAAGCATGTATGAAGAACTTCTGCATACTGAAGTTATGATGGTTGTCTCAAGGAAAAGTACTGTTTTGAGTGTGAGCTGAATTAGCTGCTTTTCTTATGAAATACCAAAGGATAACTGACAAACTAGGGTTGTTCAGACTTGGTTTTCTCAAAATATGAACTGAGACTGTCACTCATGATAAAAGTTTTTGTTACCAAAAATAAAATTTGAGCTTCCCAGTGAATTTTGGAAAACTTACATCTACTATCATGAGCTTGACAGCTTTGCAATACTCCAAGACTTCTCTGATGAGACCAGGGGGGGATATTAATGAAAATTTATTCTAAACAATGTATAATAAAATGTGTAAACATTCGGAAGATCTGCATAACTCAGTGAAGCAGTATTTTCTAAGTGATCAGCACATGATGTTACAAGATCATGTGCAGATAAATCCATTCAAAGGGCAAGAGTCAAAGACCAGTGGATTTTAATGTAACAGCACAAAAAGTTCATTAATATGGCATCAGATTTCAAGTTGCAACTAACCTTTAAGAAACTACTACCTGCTGGGGCGCCTGGGTGGCTCAGTCGGTTGAGTGTCTGCCTTCAGCTCAGGTCATGATCCTGGGGTCCGGGAGCCTGCTTCTCCCTCTCCCACTCCGCCTGCTTGTGTTCCCTCTCTCGCTGTGTCTCTCTCTGTCAAATAAATAAATAAAATCTTAAAAAAAAAAGAAAGAAAGAAACTACTACCTGCTAAATTTTGGTATAGTATCAAAGAAGAACATCTAAAATGATCATTAAGATACCCCCCTCTTTTTCAACCACATATCAATGTGAGGCTGGATTTTCTTCATATAGTTTAACTAAAATAATATGAGAATACAGAATGCAGAAGTATGAGAAACAAGCTACTTTCCTTTAAGCTGGATGTTAGATTTGCAAGAATGTAAAACAATGCTCCTCTTCTCAATGATTCTTTATTTTTTTTTAAGATTTATTTATTTTCGGGGGGGCAGAGGGAGAAGGAGATAGAGAATCTTAAGCAGGCTCCGTACTCGGTGCAGAACCCTATGTGGGGCTTGATTTCAGGACCCCGAGATCATGACCTGAGCTGAAATCAAGATTCGGATGCTTATCCAACTAAGCCACCAGGCATCCCAGATTCTTTCTTTTGAAAAATTATTATTTTTTTAAAACTTTCCAAGATAGCAGAGGAGTAGGAGACCTTAGTTTTGTCTAGTCCCAGGAATTCAGCTAGATAGCTATCAAACACCTGTGAACTCAACCAGAGATCTAAGAAAAGAAATGCTGCAATTCTACAAATAGAAAAGCAATCACTTTCTGCAAGAATGACAAGACAGAAAAACTCACCTCAAAAAAGAGAATAAGAAGCAGTACTGACTGCCAGGGACCTAATCAGTATGGATATAAATAAGGTGTTGGAACTAGAGTTCAGAATAACGATTATAAAGATACTAGCTGGGCTTGAAAAAAGCATAGAAGACACTAGAGAATCCTTTTCTGGAGAAATAAAAGAACTAAAATCTAATCAAGTCAAAATCAAAAAGGCTATTAATGAGATGCAATAAAAAAAATGGAGGCTCTAACTGCTAGGATAAATGGGGCAGAAGAAAGAATTAGTGACATAGAAGACCAAATGATGGAGAATAAAGAAGCTGAGAAAAAGAGAGATAAACAACTATTGGATCATGAGGGGAGAATTCGAGAGGTAAGTGACACCATACAGTGAAACAATATTAGAATAATTGGGATCGCAGAAGAAGAGAAAAGAGAGCGGGGGGCAGAAGGTA